TAAAAAAAAAGATAAAGAAAAAGGCTGTGTCTTTACCTGGTTGAACTAAAAGAAATACACGAACGTTCAATACCTAGTAAGAAAACGTCCTGGGCACAATAAGAAATAACTGGCAAGAAGGGAGCCATGCAACAGTGCTTTTTGACACCAGAATCTTTTTTGTTAAAGTATCTCTCCTTGTTCTAACTAGCCACTAAAGTGTTTTGTTGTTTCTTTGGTCACCAGATTTTATTTCACCCTGACGGCAAAATGGTCAATAAAAGTCTCCAAGTCTCTCGCTCTTACTCTCTCTCACCGTGAGTAAGAGGATTCTGAATGAACAGACTTAATACCTGGTTTTATATCCAAATATGCCAACCACTTATTGAAATGCAAGGGAAATGATGAACATTTTTACAATGACACAAATGTTATATTAGTTTAAAGATTAAAAACAAAAAACCAATCAGGTTTATATGCCTAGAATTCAGAGTGAAATCGTGGCTGCAGGATTTGAGAGTCAGCTAGGGGTTGGAAGGACACGATAGACTTGTTACTCAGTTTTTAAACTGTGCTTCTCTCATTTCCAAGTAGGGATTCTCCCTTGACCCCAGGTGGGAAGTTCTCTGAGGACTCTAAGATGGTGTGCCTTGATGAAAACCAACACCTGTTGTAGGCAGCAAGGTAGGGTGACACAACTGTCACAAAGCTGGAGGGCAATCTTAAGGATTCCAGGTCACTGAGCAAAGCTACAGTTCTTTCTTCTGCCTTTGTGTCCTAGGTACAGGAAGTCCAAAGGCAACTGGGCAGATATCTGATTAAGATGTTCCTACACTGAATATGAGCCCTGGTGTGGTGCTGTAGAATAAGCACTGGACTGCTAACCACAAGGCTGGCAGTTTAAGCCCACCAATTGCTCTGGAAAACCCTATACAAGGTTGCTATGATTTGGAATGACTCCACGGTACACGATAACAACAACAGCAGCTTGAATATCCAAGCATTGGGAGAGGAGTAAATTTGGGAAAAGGGGAAGGGAGATGGGACTGAAAACAATTAGAAGAAAAAGGGTCTACTTTGGATGACTGGCCTCTTTATGAAGATGGTAGAGAACAAGGTAAGCCACATAAGAACAAATGCTCTCCTTTACTTTGACTTGGGGCAGTCCAACTCTGCAGAAGGATATCCCCTATTTGAAACTTTGCATTCATGTACAATGATCATTTCTAACTTGTATTTATTTGTAGTTGTTAGTTAGTAGTAGTTAAGAGTTGTCCAGTCAGTTCTGACTCATAGCAACCCTGTATAGGATTTCGGAGGCTTTAAATCTTTTCTTTGTAGCTGTCTCCAATTTGTGCTTATATCATCTATTTTCACAACCTAAGCAACTGTGTTGAACATGAATGGGAGGTTTTCTAGAGACAGCTCATGAGGGTTGTGTTTGATTGAGTCAGTGGTAGCTCATTAAGAAGCAGCTTCTGGCCTGAGTCAACACTTTGTTGATGCCGCCACTGGCTAAAAGGTGTCTCCTGGGCACTGCAACCATTTGGGTCTCAACATTCCATGGCTCTAGGGATGTCCATGGAGTCCTAGTGTGGTGCTGTGGCATAATGCGCTGGACTGCATGGTTGGTTTGAACTGCAAAGTCAGTGGTTCAAATTCACCAGCTGCTCCTCGGAAATCCCATACAGGGTCTCTATGAGTCATCATCGACTCGATGGCACTTAACAACAACAACAACAACAACAACAACAACAACAACAAGGGATGTCCATTGGACTGCTTCTTAGTACTCAGTAGGGTGACATCAAGGAAAGGGTCTTAGAAAATTTGGACTGTAAGGGTCTATTTCTGGACCAATGGTAAGCTGTTTAAATCTTTCTGAGTTATTCTTCCAAACATTTTAACTGTTATTAATAGGTATAAAGAATTTTCAGGTTCTTTTCTTAAAAGTTTGATAATGTTGTGTTTTAGTTATACTAAAAGATAACCTTTTAATATGCTGACCTCACTATCATAGCTTTTAATGATAAGTTTTTGGTGATGGGGAATATTTACCCATTCCTATTTCTTTCCCAAGCATGTCCCTTTCTGGGCATTAGTTAAGGATTGCTACCTTGAGCTCTAAGTACTTGAGAATTTACGAAGTGCTTGCATCCAGGAGAGAGATGCTGCTGTGCAAATGAAGAATACTTACTTTTCTCATTAGCGTAGTAGTAGAAGAGGCCTCTGCTGACAACACACCATCGCTTCTGCCACTCTGATCCAAAGAAACTATGATCTAAACAGAACAGCAGTTGGGGATATAAATTCAGGTAACTACAATCACTGAAGAGTCTGTAAAATCCAACAACACACAGTCCAGTGTGTTATTGTTTTATCTCCTAGGTTAATGGACTGTAAAACCCTCCCTTTCACTCCCACAGATTGCCCCATATTGAGTCAGAGTCTACAGGGCTAACTCAGTTAAAGGTCCAACTTCTAAAACAGAATTACTCACTCTGCCTCCTCACAGCTGTCTCTCTATCTAGCTTCCTTTACGAGTGGGCTTCAAAAAGTTCATGGAACAATTCCATGATCTTTTAAGTCCATTTTTCCATGAATTTTTTGAAGCCCTTGCAGATTATCTTTTAGATTCTAATCTTATCCTGCATTTTTCAAATTCTCTGTGCTCCTTAATGTACTGCCTTTTGACAAACAAAAGTGATGCTCTAGGATTTGATCATGACAAATGTTTTCTTTGTTCTAAGTCAATTTGCCTGCCAGTGTCAAATCTGGGACTCCAGCCCCTGGAGTACCATATGCGGATCAAATGAGTCATAGGTCCACCTCTGGGCTTGTCTGAAATTCGAAAGTGGGGTTGCTTCATATATGATAATAAAAGAAAAGTTTCACTCTTTATGGGAATACATTGAAAGATGGGGACAAGAGTAACATCATTCATCCATTCAATTATTTATTAAATATGTGCTGTAGGATAAGCTGGACTGCTAATGGCAAGGTGGGTGGTTCAAATCCATCAGTCACTTTTTGGTTGCTATGAGTTGGAACTGACTTGATAGCACGTAACAACAACATATGTCAGGCACTGGGGCTACCGTGGTGAGCAGTCTCTGTCCTAATGAAGCTAACAAGCTAAAGATCTTGGGGCAATTTCTCTCCATTCTATGTGCAAACATCACAATTTCTTCCTTGTTTTTTTGCCTGACACCTGCCTACCACATTGCAGGGCACAGAGAAAGCACCCAGTGTTAGCTTCTTTCTCCGTATGCTTCTTCCCTTTCTGGAATGTTCTAAGATCTGTGGATCTTATCAGTACCTTTGCTCTTCTTCTCCAAGTATCCTTGCTTGATGATGTTATCTAGTTCTTGAGCTCCTCTTATGATGTCTTCCATTCCTAAAAGAAATAACAGCAAATGCTTTGTTGAAATCTGACAAAAATTTCATCCATTTCATCTACTTTAGCTAATATATATTAATGCAGGGGTGTTGAAATGTAATTGCTCAAATGCAACATAAAACAATTTCTACATGTAGTAGGTTACTCATTGGGCTGCTAATTTGAAGGTTTGTAGTTGGAATCCACCAGTTACTCTGTAGAAGAAAGATGAGGCTTTCTGCTCCCACAAAGATTTAAAGCCTCAGAAACCTGATACAGGGTCACTATGAATTGGAACCTACTTTATGGCATTTAACAACAATAACATAATTATATCAAATGCTAAAGTTGCTTAAAATCATCGAACTATACACATTAATTTGTGGTGTGAGGAGGTAGCCTAAAGATGGACTGTTGGCAAGAAAAGGGCTCTAGGGAATTAGGAATTTGCTGTGGATATAAACCCCAAATTGGATAATCCACATCAGATACTCAAAAATCACAGAGCTTTTTACCATTGCAGACAAGCGTTAAAGAATGATGGGCTTCACCATAAACACAGTCACCTCAGAGGGAGTTATGAACAGAAACTAACTTAAAAAAAACACAACAAACTGAAAGAAAGTCACCTTTTTGAATGAAGTAAATTCACTCAAAGCTGAACTTGGCAATAACTGCCAAATCCTGGTGTTTTTTTTTCCCAAAGTGTGGGAAAGAGCAAAAGAATAGTACAAAGTCTTACAAAGAGAATCCCCTAGATCTGATACTGGCCTTTAATTGTATGCTACTAACATTCTTGGCTTTCAATTAGCCTCATTAGGTACAAATTTATTGAGAAGTTAAGAGCCTAATCCATCTGCTTCCATTGGGGTTTAATATTCACTTTCATAAGGGAGGGGTGAAGGGCAGAGGCAAAGAAGGAGTTTCCTCCTCAAAAAATAAAATGTAACAAGAACAAAAAAACCCAACTCTACATTTCTTAATTATGAAAGTGAAGGGATTCAGCTAACAGCATCTTAATATTTATTGTTTTTTTGTGCCCAAACTCAATTTATTTTGGTTTGTCTTAAAAATTTGAGAAACCAAAATAAATGAAGGCATAATCATATATGAGTCACCTAGGTTACCTATAATGTGTGAATTTGGGGTGAAAATAATGTTTCATTCAACTGTTCATTGAACACATTCTAAAGTAACTAATTTTTTGCTATGAGCTGCCACCTTGTTGTTTAGTGCTCTACATGCCTTTCTGTGTTTGTCTAAAAATAACATTTTAGGCAAGATGGCGACTAAGCAGAAAGGTTGAACTGACTCTCTACAACAAGATACGGATAACTACATGAAACAAATGCAAGTGATAATCCTGGAAATCTTAAGTTTCAGATGAAGGGATAGAGAAGTGGACTGAATGCTTACTAGGCGAGAGAGCTGAGCAGACATGGCAAAATAGGGAGAGATTGTGAGATGAGCCAGTGACCAGACAGACACAACCATCTTGAACTTTTGTGAGTGACTTCAGAGACAAAGGCACTATTGATTTCTTGTTCCCCACACTCCCCTGTTGACCAGAAGTGAGGCTGGCCCATACCCATGTGCACCCCCAGAGAAGCTCCCACTTTTCTAGTAGTGGGAACTGTGCACAGGTTAAGCGCCATGGTCGCAGGCCCACTAAACAAGGGGGAAGCTATCTGCATTGGCCCTACTCCAGGTCTGTAGATTTGACCCTAGTCACTAGGAGAAGCAGCTGAACAGATGTGTGGGGGAGTAAAAAACACACAGAAAAGAAACTGCTGATCTATGCTGGTTGCCAGGCCAGTTGTGGTGTGGTTATCTTGAACTTTTATGAATGACTTTGAAGGCAAGGGGCAGTAGGTGGCACAGAGGCATATCACTTATTCATGGACAGAAAGGGGCTATATTTTTTCCCCCTTTCTTCGTGTACCCTACATTACTCTGGTGACTAGAGATTTGGTTGGCCCAAATCTCCTGATCTCTGGGCTGTCAAAGTTGCATCAAAGTGTGTGGGGAGCTAGCAGCATCAACTCTATACCTGGAACCAGGTGTGGCCTCTTCCCGACATACAGAGCTGGTTCTTGTCTTACCCTTGTTTACCCTCTGGGACACAAATACCCTGATATCCCAGCTGCTTTGGGGTCTGCACGAACTATTTCCAGATTGGGTGCCCAGAGCAGACAACACCGAGCCCTATAAGAACTCCATCTCTGGCTGAGTGTTACAGTCTCATTCCTTACTCACCCATGATGTGAGGTACGTGGCTGGTAGGAGACCCCAACATTCTCTCCATTCTGGGTCTATCACCTTTCCTGGTTTTGTTTTTGTTTCTTTATTCTTTCTTTCTCACCTTTCTCTCTCTTGCTTTTTCTCCCTTTCATTTTTATTCTTTTTTTTTTTTTCCTGCTTCTCTTTCTTAACTGCTGTTGCTTCTTTCTTTCTTCTGACTTATTGATATTTTTATCCCTCTTTATTTAATTTTCTCTCTCTTTCTTTTGGTACTACTCTCTGGTCTCTTTCCCTTTTACTCCTTCCTCTCCCTAATTGTCTTTGGGGCCTTCTTCCTTTTTTTTTTCTCTGTTTATTATATTATTTTCCTTGCCCTCTTTGTTTTTGTATTCTTTTGCTAGCTGTTGCCTGCTTTTTTCTCTGTTGTCTTCTGGTTTGTATTTCTTTTCCTTCTCTCTCGTACATATGTTTTCTCTTCTTGGCTCACCTAACAAGAGACAGCAACTACAACACAACTGTGCCCTCTACAACCCCACCCTTTGGGCAAGAACCAATACCAGCTGCTATACACTAGATTAACAACAATAACCAACATCAGTCAAATTTATCCTAAACTGAACTGTATGAGCAGCAAATAAAGAATGGTACACAAGCTCATCTCCTGATCATGCCCACCAGAAGGCAATTGGTAAGTGCCTAAGAATACAACATACAATCATCAACTTAATACAAACACAACAACATCACCATGTTTCTAAAGCACCAGACAATTTCTGTTCACATGAAGAAACAAGACAAAGTGGCTCAAACAAGTGACAAAGAGGCAGAGCTAGAAAACAATTTTGAGGGAAAAAAGGCATTGGAAGTGCCTGAAAAAGAATGATATTTAGGTATATACAAAGAATTGACAGAAAGATAGAGGAAAACAAGGAAGAATTCAGGAACGCACTATAGGAACAATCAAACAAAATAGATAAAGGATTGGAGAAAATACAAAATCTACAAGTAGAAATCCAGAAGATTAATACTAAGATTTCACAGATGGACAATACATAGAAAGGGCAATGGAGTAGATTTGAATAAATGGAAGCCAGAATTAATGTGCTTGAAGATAAATCTCTCAATACTCATAAGCTAGAAAGACAATCAGAAAAAAAGAATGAAAAAAATCTGAAGAATGTGTAAGACTCATGTGGGACAATATGAAGTAGAATAACTTCAGGTGACTGGAATTCCAGAACAGGAAAAGACAAAGAAAAGCACAGAAAAGATAGTTGAAGAGCTGTTGGAAGAAAATTTCCCTAACATCATGAAAGATGAGAAGATGCCTTCAAAAAGCTGAATGAACTCCAAACAGGATAGACTCCAAAAGACAATCACAAAGATATATCACAATCAAACTCTCCAAAATTAAAGACAAGGAAAGAATTCTGAAAGCAGCTTGGGAAAAATGAATAGTTAACTACAAAGAAGAATCAGTAAGATTAAGCTCTGATTTCTCAGTAGAAACCATGCAAGCAAGAAGGCAATGGGTGACATATACAAAGCTCTGGGGAAAAAATTGCCAACCAAGAATCATACACCCAGCAAAACTGTTCCTCAAATACAATGGTGAAATTATAACATTTCCAGATAAACAGAAATTAAAGGAATTTGTAAAAGCCAGACCAACTTTACAAAAAATACTAAAGGGAATCCTTTGGACTAAGAACCAACAACAGCCGACAACTGGAGATTGACACACACAACAACAACACCCCGAATTCAATCCAGATATAGGAGTATCCAAAGTAAAACAAACTTACAAGACTGAAAACAGAATCAGAGATACCAATTTATAATCAAGACAACTACAAAACAAAAAGAAGGAAAAGTATAGTTGTAGAATTCCAAATGGCAAGGAAGCCAAGTAGATTGCAATCTAAAGCAGACTGTTTTAAATTGAGGAAAAAATTAATAAATTATAGGGTAACCTCAAAGCCAATCAATATACTTTCACATCAAATCAAGGAAGGGAAAACCACAAAGTTTTTGTAAATATTAAAACAACAGAAGTGAAGAAATTGACAAGAAAACACACAAATAAAATGAACTCAGCACAGAAAAATATGTGGAACAAAGAAAACAGCAATACCACAAAACATACACACAGCAAAACGATTACAATCAATTCATACCTATAGGTAATTATACTAACCATCAATGGATTAAACGCACCAGTCAAGAGACAGAGAGTAGCAGAACTAACAAGAAAACAGGATACTTCAATATGCTGTCTACAAGAGACTCACTTCATACACAAAGACAAAAATAGACTAAAAATCAAAGGATGGAAAAATGACAATCAAGCTAATGACAATCAAAATTAAGCAGGAGTGGCAATATTAATTTCTGATAAAATAGACTTTAAGTAAAAAACCAGCATAAGAGACAAAGAAGGACATCATCTCATGATAACTGAACAAGAAGATAAAACCATAATAAATATCTATGTGCCCACTGAAAGAGCCTCAAGATACATAAATCAAACTCTAATAGAATTGAAGAAAGAAATAGATAACTCTACAATAACAGTAGGAGATTTTAATACAACATTTCCAATAAAGGACAAAATAAATAGAAATTCAACAGAGTTACAAGAACTAAACACAATCTACCAATTTGATCTAATAGATTTATACAGAGCATTCAACCCAACAACTGTACAATACACATTTTTTCCAGTGCAAAAGGAAAATTCTTCAGAATAGACCATATGTTAGGCCACAAAGCAAGCT